CGCGCCCGCGCCGCCCCGGCGCGCTGGAATGGCAGTCAATTGTCAGGAGGGGAAAAAACACACAGACACAATTAATCGTCGATTCCCCAGAAAATATTGGGAAATATGGGCAGTGGGGGGGAAGACAAAAACCCAGTACATTTTTTTATACATAAAAAGGAGATATTTTATTTTGTGTGCATTACTTTGTGTGTCCCAGGGCCCCTTCAAATTGTCGAACTCCGTGTCTGCAGTGCTCCACAGCCCACCCACCCACCCTCCCGCGGAGCAGCGCGCCGGCGCGCGCGGCCCCCCCCGACGGCCTCGCTTCACTCAGAGAGCATCGGAGCCGCACCCCCGTGGCCGCAATCTCTTGCAAGATGCAGTGGCTCCGCGCTTGCGAACGCTGGTTCCTCCTCCTCCCCCTCCTCCTCGTCGTCCTCCTCCTCCTCCTCTTCCTCCTCCTGCTCCTTTTCCTCCTCCCCCTCCTCCTCCCCCTCCTCCTCCTCCTCCTCCTCCGCCTCCTCCTCCTCCTGCAAAATGCGATGGCCAGAGATGGTTCCGAGACTTCCCTGGGCGGCGCTGAAGACGGCCCAAGATCGACGGCCTCTGGGCGGACCGCAGAGCCCCCAAAACGGCCAAAGAGGGCTCCAGGAGGACCCACAGGGCCCCCGGGCGCCTCGAGCCCCCCCCCCCCCGAGCCCCAGGCGCCCAGAAGCCTCCTCCCCCGAGCCTCCGGGCCCGCCCGCCCGCCGAGGCGATGAAAACCGCTTGTCGTTTCATGTTGGCCTGCAGTCGTCTACGAGATGCCGCGCATGAATCTCCACGCCGCAGAAAAATGCGCACCAGAGTAGCAGTTTTCTCCGCCAGCCGAAAGGCCCCCAGACCCTTCCCAAGGGCCAGACGCACCAGTCGTTCGGGCCGCGTCCGGCCGCGGCGACGGGGAGGGCCCCCGAAGGCCAAGAAGCTTTGAACCTCGAGTCTCGAACTTCGAACCACCCGGGCAAGGCGGAATGGGAGGAGGCGACGCAGACAGGGAGAGGCGGAGAAGATCGAGGAGGAAGGAGGCAGTAAGGAGTTGTTCTGTTGAAGCTGATTTCGCGCAGACGGCAGTCGACACGCGCGAAAACAGCCACGCGCGGCAGCCGCCGGGCGCAAGCGCAACGCGCAGAAGGCCCCGCGCGGCACAGGAAGCACGAGAAGCGATCTTCGCACGAAAGACGCGCGCACTGACGCGCGCGACACATGTCTTCCAACGTCGACCGCGACAGGAAGAACGGGACTGAACGCGCGGGCAACGCGTTGCACGGTGCACCGGCTACACAGACAAACGAAATCAGGCCGCAGCGGTACCTCTCGGTTTTATTTCTTACACCTAGACCTCGTAGATCTGGAGTTCGGAGAGCGCCGCGCGGACGCCATCTTCGCGGCAGAGCGGGGGGAAATGACGCGCGCGAGCGCGAGGCCTTCTCGCAGATCCGGAGGCGCAGGGCCGCCGCGCTGCTGCGAGTGCATCGAGGGCTCGAGAGGCTTTCGCGATAGCGCGGGCCTCCTCCTCCTCCTCCTCCTCCTCCTCCTACTCCTCCTCGTCCTCCTCCTCCTACTCCTCCTCCTCCTTCTCCTCCTCCTCCTCCTCCTCCTCCTCCTCCTCCTCCTCCCGAACTGGACCGAGCCGATGTCCGAGCTCATCGAGGGGATCGCGGAAGCCGCGGGCGGCTGGGAAGCCCCAGAACGCGCCCCCTTTCGAGCTGGAGGCACAGCGGCGCCCTGCCGGCACCGACCCGAGCAAGCCATCCGACCGCGCGAGAAAGTGCGTCCACGAGGCCGCCAGAAGGGTCTGCTAAGGCCGGCCGGGAGCAAAGGGGCGGGCAGGCCGCGGCGACGATCTGAGCGACGTCGCAGAGGGGCAGCCCATCCGCCTTCGCCTGCCGGCGGCACTTCCACGCGAAGCAGGGGGCCGCGACGCAGCGTCGATGGGGGAGCTGGAGACGGGGATCAGCGGGCATCCTGCACAAGATGCCCTGGCAGGAGAAGCTCCTCGAGGAACTCGCACGGCGGCGACTCGACCAGGGGGCGGCCAGCGGGGCCGCCCCAGAAGCAATCAAAAGACCACAGCGAATGGCTCCGATAACATTTTGCGGGCGAGGTGAAGGCGGGCAGGATGATCAGGATTTCAGAAGAGCAGCCAAGCAACTGCTTCCACGGCGAATGCAACACAGCGACGTCGGCGGCCCTGGAAAGCACGAGCAGCAAGAACAAACATGCGCGCGACGGCGCGCATGAGGTCGCCGTGAAACATCGGATCCGACGCGGGAAACGACAGGGGATGCTGAGACCCACGGAGAAGAACTCCCCACTGAGCTGCTACGGGGACTGGCACGAAGTCATCTTCTCGCTCGTCACCAACACGAAGGGCGCGCATCGGCTGGTCAAGATCCGCGAGGACGAGCGGGGCATGCTAGCCCGCGAGTTCGAAAGCGAAATCAACTGCAACACCGTCGGCATCTTCGTCATATCCAGCGCCTCGGAATGGCGGGCCAGGAAGTTCGGCGCCAGACAACGACCGATATTCTGTCTGTTGGGAAGCGACTGGCCCATCGCAGAGGGCCAAGACGCCGGGCGGCCTCAAAGCGGATTGGGTCGGACTCCATTGCGACTACACCATGTACACCACTTACGGGGGCGGCCAGAGCAGCGGCCTGGCGTCGGGAGACGGTCGAGCGCGGCAACGCCCACTTAGGCGAGATGGCGCCAGGCCTGGGGCGCCTGAGTATCGCGGCGACGGCCCTCGCCCGGGGCCCGCGCGCCCCTGGCACGCCAGCGTCGCGAGAGCAGGCGAGAGGACGGCACCCCCACCGCGGGCGGTTAGGCCCGCGCTGGCTCGGATCGGCAAGCGACGGAAATGCGGGCAAAAACTGGAGCAAGTTCAAAACCGAGGGCGCCGGGCACTTCCGCTTGGACGCGAAGGCGGAGGAAGGGCGCCGTTGGATAGGCCGCCGGAACGCGCCGCCGAACGGCAGCACGCGAGGAACTCGCTGGCACGCGCTGGAAGCAGAGAAGGAATGGTCTCCTTGGGCCCTCTCCGCGACGCTGCTCTCGAGGTCAAGGGGGGCCACCAGAGGGCGAACTTCAAGATGGCGGGGTCGACGGACAACCTAGGGAACGCCGACGGAGTGAACTCGGCCACGCCGACCAAGTTGACGTCGACAGCCCCCCTTATCGGGCCCCCGGAGGAGCTGCGATCACGAAAGAAGGCGGCGCCTAAACCTGGACTTGCCTACCGCGCGAGGAGAAATTGGAGCCAGACGACCTCAGAAGCATGAAAACAAAGGCCTTCAACGAGCTCCTCAGGATCCACGCTGCGGCGCGCGTCCGACGAGACGACGCAGGTCCGCCAAGAACTCCCGACGAGTCGATCATCGAGGAGGGCGGCCGCCTCGGGCGGGACACCCTGAGTTGGGCACAGCCGCGGGAGCCGCGGACGACGCGCGCGCCTTGTGCGCCGTGTCCAGGGCGGGAGGGGCGACCTCAACCGCGGGGGGCCCTCTGGAGAGTGGGCAGGGCTTCAAGACCGCGCCTTTGCTCTCTCGCGCACGGGCGCGGCGCGGCATGGACGGAAGCGGCGGTGCCTAAGAAGACGGGGTGAAAAACGCGCGGTGTGGGGATGGGCCTTCGACGCTCGCAGCGTTTTGCGGAGGCCCCCGGATCCGCCCCCGCACCTCCGAGTCTCCTTCCCCCTTACCTAGCGACCCACTCCCATCGCAGAGGGGAGCATCAAGTTCCTGGGAGTGGCTGGGGCCCTGCGTACAGGGCCGCCGGATGCGCCACCCATAAGGGAGGCATCAACGTCATCCCCGGCCCCTCTTTGGCCGCAATCGCACCGCTATTAAGGATATGCGAAGATACGCCCCCGCGCGCCAACACGAAAATGCATCCGTTTTCCCTGCCCAACGCCTGTGGCCATTTAGGCTCAGGCGTTCGGCCGATTATCTGTAACCCACCCTCAACCACCCCGGTGCATCAAGTTCCTGGGAGTGGTTGGGGCCCTGCGCACAGGGCCCTTCATGCGCCACCCGTAATTGAGGCATCAACATCATCTTTGGCCCCTCGTCGACCGCCATCGCACCGCTATTCTGGCGATGCAAGGCGTTGCCAATTTCAGAATTCCAATACGTGACGACATCTAAGGCGAGAGCCCACTCTTGAAAAGAGCCGCCGTCCATCATGGAAAAGAACCACGCTTCAACCGTGCTGCCGTTGGATGTTGTACGACGTGTGTGCGCGGCGGCGCCAAAGCCCGAGCGCCAGTTTGGAAAGATGTTGGCCACCAGCCGCCGAACATTTGGATGTTGGACATCTCAAGTTTGGGGCATCAGCGCTGGGATGTCTCAAGCGAAACGGCCTGTCGGCCTGTCCTAACGTCACGTCTGTGGCGGGACAGGGAGGAGCTACTTGCAAGGGCGAGGGATGGGCTGGAGGGAGGGGAATGGAAGGGGGGAGGGAGGGAGGCGAAAACCCGGAACTCCGGAGTTCCGGGTGTTCGCCTCTGGAATTCTGGGTCTACCCTGTGGGGGCCGCCCCACAGCCCTGCGGAGGAAGGAGGAGGAGGAGGAGGAGGAGGAGGAGGAGGAGCGTCCTCCTCCCTTACTCTGCGGACCTGCAGCTCGGGCCTTCCCCGTGGCTCAAGGCTCAGCCCTGAGCCTTGGGCCACGGGGCGGCCGCTGCGGCGCCGCTGGGGGTCTCCGCCCCTCGCTCTCCCTTGCCTCCTGCTCTTGCCGCCGCGGTTCCTCCCCCTTCTCCCTCTCCCCCTCCTCCCTCTTCCCTCCTCCCTCTTCTTCCTCCCCCTCCCCCTCTCCCTCTCCCTCCCTCTTCCCTCCTCCCCCTCCCCCCTCCTGCTCCTCCCTTCTCCTCCCCCTCCCCCTCTTCCCTTGCCCTCTCCCCCTCCTCCCTCTTCTCCTCCCTCCCCCTCCCTTCCCGCCCCCACAGGCGCTCAGCCTCGAGGTCGCCGTGGCGACCTCGAGGCGCTGGGGCCAGCTCGCGGCCGCCTTCGGCGCCGGGGCGTTGAACCTTGTGGCCACGCTCGGGCTCGCGGCGCTGCTGTCGCGGCGCGTCAGCCGCGGCGGCGCCGCCGGCGGCGGCGCCGCGGGGGCCTCCTTCCGCCCGATGCTGCCTGCGTGAGCCCTGGCCGCGTGGGCGGGGCTGCCGCCGCGCTGTATCTCTGCATGCCCTGCCGCGTGGAGGGGCCGGCCCTGCAGGGGGCTCGACTGCGAGGCCAGCGGGCTCCCGGCGCCGCCGGCCCCCTCGCGATGTAATCTGCGGCCACCTTCCGCTGCACTCGAGGTGCTGAGGTGAGGGGCAGCTCTCGAGGAAGAAGAGACTCTGCGGCCCTCGGCGAAACCTACAGCGGGCACACGGAGCAAGAAACAACTGACCTGCCAGCACCTGCCCCAGAAGAAGAAACACAAGCAACAGAAACTGCACCCACGGGGACGCACCTGAAATTCTAGACGCTTCGCGTATCCCCACCAGCCCGTCCAGAAATGAGTCCCAGGGGAGTGGAGGTTATGAGGGAAGCGGGGGAGCATGCAGAAGAACAAAGGGCGGGGTGAGCCGCCATATACCCCAAGAGGGGGAGGATGTAGGAGGAGCCGTCGTCGTCGGAGTAGGAGGAGGAAGAGGAGGAGCAGGAGGAGGAGCAGGAGGAGGAGGAGGAGGAATAGAAGGAGGAGGAGATGGAGGACTGCGAGGACGAGGAGGACGAGAAGGAGGAAAAGGAGAGGAGGAGGAGGAGGAGGAGGAGGAGGAGGGGGAGGGGGAGGAGGGAGGAGGAAGAAAAAAGGAGGAGGAGGAGGAGGACAATGGCGAGCTTGGGGGCCTCTTGGGCCGTCTTTGGGGCCTCTTGGCGGTCCCGGGGGCCTCTTGCGTATCTCGGGGGGCCTCTTGTGGCCTCTTGGGGGTCTCTTGGGGGCCTCTTGGAGGCCTCATGGGGGCCTTTTGGGGCCTCTTGGGGCTCTCTTGGGGCGCTCTTGGGGCGCTCTTGGGAGCCTTCGAAGCGCTCTTGGGGCCATCTTGGAGGAGATCTATCAAAGAAGGGGGGTTCCCCAATTAGCGCTGCCCCTCTAGAGTGCCTCGAGTCGCCTCTTGGGCGCCCCAAGAGGCCAAAATCCTTCCAAAACCTAGGTAAAATCAATGTTTGTTGCTTTCTCGCCTTTTCGCTCTTGGAGCCGTCTTGGGTCATCTTGGACTCTCTTGGGGCCTCTTGGGGGTCTCTTGGCAACGTCTTGGAGGCTTCTTGGGGGCCTCTTGGGGTCTCTTGGGGCCCTCTTGAGGCGCTCTTGGGGCGCTCTTGGGAGCCTTCGGGGCGCTCTTTGGGCCATCTTGGAGGAGATCTATCAAAGAAGGGGGGGGTGCTTATTAGCCCCGGCCCTCCAGAGTGCCTCGAGTCGCCTCTTGGACCCCCCCAAGAGGCCAAAATCCTTCCAAAACCTAGGTAAAATCAATGTTTTGTGTTTTCTCGCCTTTTCGCTCTTGGAGCCGTCTTGGGTCATCTTGGACTCTCTTGGGGCCTCTTGGGGGTCTCTTGGCAACGTCTTGGAGGCTTCTTGGGGGCCTCTTGGGGTCTCTTGGGGCCCTCTTGAGGCGCTCTTGGGGCGCTCTTGGGAGCCTTCGGGGCGCTCTTTGGGCCATCTTGGAGGAGATCTATCAAAGAAGGGGGGGTTCCTTATTAGCCCCGCCCCTCCAGAGTGCCTCGAGTCGCCTCTTGGACCCCCCCAAGATGCCAAAATCCTTCCAAAACCTATGTAAAATCAATGTTTTGTGTTTTCTCGCCTGTTCTGTCTTGGGCCATCTTGGACGCTCTGACACCTCGCGACCGGCCCCGTCCAGGTCAGTGGGGAGGGGTAAGGGGAGGGGTAAACCCCTCCCCGAAGGGGAAGAAGGGGGTTGGCAGAGGAAACTCCCTAGACCACCTACGCCCTAAAGGGCTGGTGGGATTTCGTAAGCCCTCCCCCCGTCCCTGGGCCAGCTACCGACATCGCGCGCAACCTATGAGTGCACTGCAGCCCTTCGGGTCCACTCGACGCTGGGATATCGAACACTCCGGGTTGGGTCCGCTTGGCCGCAGACATCACTTGGATTTGGAGCTCGAGCCCGCGTTTCGGAAGCCTTGCCTGCAGGGGTCTGGCTCACGTGTGGTCGGCTCGCTAAAGTCGACAAGCATAAAGCCTCGGCGGTGTGCGCGGACGTCTCGGGTCGGGGCTGGCCCCCCTGGCGCCGCCACCGGCGCCGCCCCTGGCGCGCGGAGCGCGCCAGGGAGGGCCAGCGCCGGCCCGAGCAATCCGCGCGGCCCCTTCGAAAGCTGCGCCTCTGCAGCTCTTCGCTCTTCCGACTTCGGGTTCGGAGTGGGCACCTCCAGCGCTCCTCGTGCACCTGGGCGCGTCTGGGGCCAGGGATGGGCGTCGTTCCCCTCTGGCGCTCCTCAAGAGCAGCTTCACTGCACATCCCTCGCCCGGGAGAAGGACGGAGGAGGGGGAGAGAGAGAGAGAGAGAGGGGGAGGGAGAGAGAGAGCGAGAGGGCCTCCCCTCCCCCCGCGGGTGCCTCGGGTGCAGCTCCCTGGGGGCGCCGCAGACCGAGGGGGGGGGGGGGGCGCAGGAGGCGCGGGTCGCGTGCTGGCGAGGGCCCGCAGCGGCGCGAATGCTCCTGGCAACGTGACAGCGTGCCCCGGGGCGGGAACGACGCATCGGCGCGCGATGCGCTCCTGCGGAGCGATCGGGGGAGGGCTCGCGTTCGACGTTTCATCCCTGGCGGGAGGAGCGGGGGGGGCCGCGCTTGTCTGCTTTGCTCTCCCTTCGGCGGCAAGCCCATGGGGGAGGGCCGAGGGGGCGGGCCTCCTCAGAGGGCTGGGCTTCTCGGACGGCCGGGGGGGGGCCTCTGAGAAGCCCCGCCGCTGCCTCAGAAGGCCTGCCCCTCTCACCTTCACCCCCCTTGGGCGCGCCACCGATCCGTGCCCCGCTGCCGTCCTCCCGAATGCTTCTCCTCCTCCTCCTCCTCCTCCTCCTCCTCCTCCTCCTCCTCCTCCTCCTCCTCCTCCTGCGTGCCCGCCGTGTTGGCAAACTTCGCTCTGCCCTAGGATCTCGACGCACTCTGAGGGTCTTCACGGCAGGACCTCTCCCAGGTGTGCTCTACGGCAGCGAGGTGCGCGGGGTCACGGACCACGAGCTCCTCCACCTGCGCCGTTCGGCGGCGAGCACCATCAAACCCTCAGCAGGCCAACGCTCCCTGACGGTCTTGTCTCATCTTGAAGGGGACCCCGCTTGGATCGGTTTTGTTGCTCCGATTTTGCGCTGGCACAAGGAAATTTGGTGTACCCAAGTTCGGGCCTTTGAAGGTTCTCTTAGTTTCAGGGAGCTGAGGCTGGCTTGGGAAGGTGTTTTTCTTAGAGAATCTTGCTCATGGCGTGCTGTTGGAGGCCCCGTCGCCGCCATGCGCAAGTCCCTGGAGAGGATCTCCTGGACGATGAGGGACTTCGCCACCTTTGTTACGGACCAAGGGGTGATCCTCTCCATGACCCTCATATCTCCCCAGCTCATGCGCCTCCACCTTCGGGCTGCTGTTTTTCGAGGATTGGATGTTCCTCATCGTCTGTGCTTCGACGTGGTTAAACATTGTCTGCGTAGCAAAAGGTTCTCGGCCTTCGAGAAGGGCTGCATCAGGGCTGCTGCCACTAACGCTGTGTGGACTCGTCAAAAAGCCAGGCACCGCTTGTGGGTCTGCAGGTGCCCAGACGTCCAGGAGTTTCGGGAGAGCCTCGTGGAGCCAGAAGTCATCCAGAGAGCCTTGCAGGAGCCTGACAGTGTTCTTTCGCGTTTCGGTTCTTTTGCTCATCCTGGGGACTATTTTCCCAAGCCCTCGGGGGAGCCCTCTGGCACATTCGCTGCTCCTGAAGGGCTCCCCCAGGACCCCCAGAGTTTTGACTTCAGCGGGCACGTTTTTACTGACGGGAGTGCCTCAAAGCATGTGGTGCGTGAGCTTTCACGTGCTGGATGGTGCTTCGCAGTTGTCGACCAGTCGGGCGACTTGCGGGCCATGATGTATGGTCCCGTGCCGCCGTCGTACCCGCAGACAGCTCCTGCAGGAGAATTCGCCGCCTTCTGCCAAGCTGTCATTTTCACGAATGCTCCGTCGGATTTTTACACTGACGCGCAGCTGGTCAAGGATCATTTTTCTTTGCAACCCGAGGATCAGCTGTCGCCGAAACGTTGCTACAGTGGTTTCTCGTTGTCTCTTTTGCATGAAAAGTGGAAGGTAAACGCCCTCCACAAAGTCAAAGCGCATCAGTCTCTCGATGAATGGACCTCCGAATTCGATCAGATGTGCCGCTTTGGGAATCATTATGCTGATGTCGGTGCTTAAAAAGGCTTCTAGCGGTGAAGGATACCTTGGTCACCCGCAGCCTTCTGCGGAGGACCGAGATAGGTTGGATCTCGACATCAAATTGTCTCGTGCTGTGTGTCAGCTAGCGGCGAAAGTGCTTCCTAGTTGGCCGCGCCTAGACCTCAGTGAAGTTTCCTGGACTAAGCCGACGGTCTCATTTGCTGTGAATTCGACGTCTGCTAGGTGCCAGTGGACGATTATTCAGAATGTACAGTTGGCTTCCTCCCCAGGATTTTGGAAATGCACGGCCTGCGGCAGAGTCAGTCGATCTCCCACCGACAGCCCGCCCCCGTGTGCTCCTCTGTGTCAGCCGATCTCGGGGCTTGAAGCTGGTGCGCTTGAGAAAAGGGGGCACTCTTGCATTACGTTGGCGTGCTCTGATCAGGCCTCGTTGGTTGTGTGCACGAAATGCTTTTGCTACTCTTCTCATGGCAGAGTGGCTGGGCTGGGTGGAAGGTGTGTGGGACCGACCAGGTCTACTTTTTACAATAATTGGGGGCCCATCCGCAGAGGACGGCACCCCAAGCGCCCAGAGGTCACAGTGGAGCGTGGCCCCTGGGGAAGGCACTCTTTTGGTTTTGTCCCAGACGCGGAGGAGGAGGAGGTCCCCGCCCCGTCGTCTGAGCCTCCCCCCACGTCGGCCTCGGAGGAGGAGGAAGCGAGAGAGAGACGCCGTGCGGCCATCGCACGACGTCTCCTGGCTGCGGCGAGTGGCCCTCCGAGGGACCCGCCGCCTCTGTCTCAGGCCACTGGCCACGTGTCGCAGGAGGCCTCGCCCGCTCTTCAGGAGTTGAAGGCGAAGGCCCTTTTCGTCTCGAAGCTGCCGCATCGGGATGAAGGCGACTCCAGTTCTGACTAACGCCTGGGGGAGAAGCGGTTGGCCACGGGGAATCCTCCAGCCAGCTGGAGATGTCCATGTGGCTTTCCGCCTTTCCTCTCTTTGCAGGTGTTAGAATTTTGCTGGCTCTGGCCAGCC